CCCCCCCCCCCCAATTCCAGGCAGAACCCCCTCCCCACTTTTTGGGGGGGATGGGCTGAGGGGCGGGCAGGGCTCACTGCAGCCCCTCCCCCGCCGGCCCCCCCTCCGGCTCCGAGCCCCCCGCCTCGAAGGGGGGCTCGGGGCCCATGAGGTCGGGCTCCAGCTTGCCCGTGTCGTTGATGAAGGAGGTGTAGGAGTCGCCCTCGGCCATGAGCAGCTTCAGCTTGGGGATCCAGCTCTTGCGCACCACGCGCCGCGCGTTGGTGCACATGTCGGCCGCGATGGCGTTCATCACCCCCCCCCCCCAATTCCAGGCAGAACCCCCTCCCCACTTTTTGGGGGGGATGGGCTGAGGGGCGGGCAGGGCTCACTGCAGCCCCTCCCCCGCCGGCCCCCCCTCCGGCTCCGAGCCCCCCGCCTCGAAGGGGGGCTCGGGGCCCATGAGGTCGGGCTCCAGCTTGCCCGTGTCGTTGATGAAGGAGGTGTAGGAGTCGCCCTCGGCCATGAGCAGCTTCAGCTTGGGGATCCAGCTCTTGCGCACCACGCGCCGCGCGTTGGTGCACATGTCGGCCGCGATGGCGTTCATCTCGCTCTCCTTGAAGTTGGGGGCGAAGTTCTGGCAGTAAACTGGGGGGGGGGACACGTGGGGACAGGGTCAGGGGGGACCCCGAGTCTGGTGGGGGTCCCGGGGAAAGGTTTGGGTGGGAAATGTGGGGTGGTGACTTTGCCATCCCAAATTTCCCGCTGTCCCCTCTCCCCTGTTCCCCCCCTGGTTGGGAAATTCTGCAGTAAACTGGGGGGGACACACGGGGGGACAGGGTCAGGGGGCAGCCAGGGACCTGGGGACAGGGTTAGGGGGGAGCCAGGGCACCCCAAGTTTGGGTTTGGGAGGGAAACGTGGGGTGGTGTCTTTGTTGTCCCCATTTTCCCGCTGTCCCCTCTCCCCTGGGTGGGAAATTCTGCAGTAAACTGGGGGGGGACACACATGGGGACAGGGTCAGGGAGCAGCCAGGGACCTGGGGACAGGGTCAGGGGGCAGCCAGGGACCTGGGGACAACGTTAGGGGGGACCCCAAGTTTGGGTTTGGGTGGGAAATGTGGAGTGGTGTCTCATTGGGGTCACCTTCTGTGTCCCCTCTGTGTCCTCTCTGCAGTCCCCCTGTGCCCTCTCTGAGGTCACTCCTGTCCCACTTTGTCCCCTTCTTCAGGTCCCTCCTGTCCCCTCCCTGGGGTCACTCCTGTCCCCTCCCTGGGCTCCCCCTTGTCCCCTCCCTGGGGTCCCTCCTGTCCCCTCCCTGGGGTCACTCCTTGTCCCCTCTCTGGGGTCCCCCTGTCCCCTCTCTGGGGTACCCCTGTCCCCTCCCTGGGGTCCCTCCTGTCCCCTCTCTGAGGTCACTCCTGTCCCCTCTCTGGGCTCCCCACTGCCCCTCTCTGGGGTCCCCCTGGGGTCCCCCTGTCCCCTCTCTGGGGTCCCCCTGTCCCCTCCCTGGGGTCCCCCTCCCAGCCCCCGGGGGTCCCCCCGAGCCCCCCACTCACACTTGACAGCGTGCAGCACCCGGCTGTCCAGCGGTTTCCTGCTGGGGTCGTTGGTGGACGAGCGAATCCCCGTCCCGCAGCTGTTGGCCAGCGTGTTCCTGCCGGGCCCCAAAAACCCCAGCTTGAACCCCCAAAAAACCCCTCGGGGACCCCAGCTGAGGGCGGGGGGCAGCCGGGGGGGGCTCACCTGTCGAAGAAGGAGGCGAGCAGGCGGCGCAGCAGCACCTTGTGCCGCGTGCCCGCGCTGACGTGGCAGTTCATCAGCTGCGCCCGCGTGATGTACACGTTGGTACCTGGCCGCAGAAAGGGGGGGTCAGGGGGTCCCCAAAACCCCGTGGGACCCCCCCCCCGGTGCGTGGCAGTACCGGTGACCAGCTCCAGCTTCTCGGCGGGGTCTCCCTCGTCGTAGAGCTTGGGGTGGCAGCGGTTGCCGATCTGGGTGACGAGCTCGGCCGGCAGCGACGCCAGGTCCTGGCGCAGGCGGGCGCGGGCCCGGGGCTCCGGGGGGGGCTGCTCGGGCAGGGCCTCCACCTTCTCTGCGGCTGGGGAGGGGGGGGACACGGGGATGGAGCTCTGTGTGCTCCAGAGTGTCCCAAGCCCCCCCAGGCCCCCCCTACCTGCAGGCCCCACGTTCATCATGCTGTACATGGTGTACATGTTGCAGATCTGCCGGTACTGCTCGTCAGAGCCTTCCTCCGCCGCGTCCTCCTCCTCGTCCTCCTCGTTGTGGAACGAGCCGGGGCTGTCGCTGGTGTAGGCACTGGACGTTCCCCCGGGGCTGGTCTGGTCAGCAGCCGTGCCCGGCACCGGGGCTGGCACCGGCACCGGCACCGGCGTGGTGCCACCGGCGGCGGCGGCGGGCGGGCGCGGCGCCGCCTCGGAGAATTTGGCCATTTTCCTGCTGCCGTTGCCCCCGGAGTCCTTGGTGGCCCCGTCCCAGAGGCGTTTGACCACGAAGGTGCACTGCACGCCGTCGGGCTCGCCCTGCTCCGTCTTGACCCGCGACACCAAGGGCAGCGCCGCCGCCCAGCCCTGCCCCGCCGAGGTCTGCGCCACCGGGCTCTGCGGCTCCGAGCCCGGCGTGTCGTCCCCGTGCAGCCCCTGAGAGTCGCAGCTGGGAGAGCTCACCTGCAAACGGACATTTGGCACTCTTAGTTTGCTGGGGAAATCTGGTTTTGGCCAGGGTTTGTCTCCTGGGAAGCTGAGAACGCCGAGGTTTGGGCACCGGGCTCTGCGGCTCCGAGCCTGGTGTGTCATTTCCATGTAACCCCTGAGGGTCACAGCTGGGAGAGCTGACCTGCAAATGGACATTTTCAGGGTTATATTTTCTAGAAAAATCGGTTTTGCTCAGGGTTTGTCTCCTGGGAAGCTGAGAACGCCGAGGTTTGAGCACCGGGCTCTGCGGCTCCGAGCCCAGCTTCATCTCCCCCTGAGAGTCACAGCTGGGAGAGCTGACCTGCAAATTGAAATTTTCCACTCTTAGTTTGCTGGGAAAATCTCTTTTTGCCCAGGATTTTGATGGGAAGCTGAGAATACTCCGCCAAGGTTTGGGCCACTGGGCTTTGTGGCTCCAAGCCCATCGTGGCCTCTCCCTGTAACCCCTGAGAGTCACAGCTGGGAGAGCTGACCTGCAAATGGACATTTTCAGGGTTATATTTTCTAGAAAAATCGGTTTTGCTCAGGGTTTGTCTCCTGGGAAGCTGAGAATCCCCTGCTGAGGTTTGAGCCACCTGCCGAGGTTTGGGGGTTTGAGCCACCGGGCTCTGTGGCTCCGAGCCCAGCTTCATCTCCACGTAACCCCTGAGGGTCACAGCTGGGAGAGCTGACCTGCAAATGGACATTTTCCACTCTTAGTTTGCTGGGAAAAATCTCTTTTTGCCCAGGATTTTGATGGGAAGCTGAGAACACTCCGCTGAGGTTTGGGGGTTTGGGCCACCGGGCTCTGCAGCTCCGAGCCTGGTGTGTCATTTCCACGTAACCCCTGAGGGTCACAGCTGGGAGAGCTGACCTGCAAATGGACATTTTCAGGGTTATATTTTCTGGGAAAATCGGTTTTGCTCAGGGTTTGTCTCCTGGGAAGCTGAGAACGCCGAGGTTTGGGCACCGGGCTCTGCGGCTCCGAGCCTGGTGTGTCATTTCCATGTAACCCCTGAGGGTCACAGCTGGGAGAGCTGACCTGAAAATTGATATTTTCAGGGTTATATTTTCTGGAAAAATCTGTTTTGGCCAGGGTTTTTCTCCTGGGAAGGTGAGAAGGTTCCGAGAAAAAGGAAATTGTTGAGTTTGCAGGGTCCCCAGGACTGTCACTGTGGTATTTTCTGAAAAATCCCTTTGCCACGATTGCTCCTCCTGGGAAGATGAGAAGGCTCAGAGAAAAAGGAAACAATAATTATCTGATTTGCTTCTCCTGTGTTTTGCTGCTTTAGAATGCATTTGGAGATTGTTTTATTGTTTATTTATTTATCTCTGCTGTGAATTGTTCTGACTTAATGACCAGTTATGGTCAAGTTGTGTCAGGACTCTGGAAGGAGTCAGGAGTTTTTCATTATTATCTTTTAACTTTCTGGCTTCATCCATTCTCTATTCGTTAGTATAGTTTAGTTTAGCATCCTTTTATCTAATATAATATCATAAAATAATAAATCAGTCTTCTAAGAACATGGAGTCAGATTCAATTCCTCCTTGGTCCTGGGGACCCAGAAATTGCCACAATTGTTGGCAATTTTGTGCCTGCTAATGAAAAGCTGCCAAACTCACAGTGATGAGACTGTTTTAGTGATAAGAAATAATAAACACTTGAGTTTGAATGTGAATTACTGTCTCAATGCCTTCAATCCAGACCCAGAGAAAGCCACAAAAGTGTGAAACAGATTACAGAGCAAATTCAGGGCTTGGGATTTTTAGTATCTTGTGGACGGGAGCAAGATGGAGAGCACAGGTCCTGGGTTTCTTCTTCTTGCTTCTTCAAGGCTTTGGGATTTTGTAATTGGGTGGAAAAATCTTTGGGATCAGTTACTGGGTTGAAAGGGGAAACAATCCAGGTGTCAGTTAAATAGGTGTCAGTTCTTAACTGGATAATTCAGTCTTTTAAGAGACTAAAGAAGTGTCAGCAGTAACTCTGATGGCTCTGGGACGTGGTCTGGAGGCTGTTCACCAACAGGTGCACCCTTGATTAGTTCCATGGGAATTGTTTTAATTGAATGACCAGCCATGGGCCAGATGTGTTGGACTCTGTCTGCCACCAGTTCTTGTTATTCCTTTTCCTTTCCTTTCTCCTTTTTCTTTCCTTTCCTTTTTCCTTTCCCCTTGCCCCCTTCCCTTCCCTTCCCTTTTTCCTTTCATTTCCCTTTCCTTTTTCCTTCCCTTCCCTTCTGATGAAATCCTCTCTTCTATTATTTTCAGTAGAGCACTTTTTAACACAACATAACATCACAAAGTAACAAATCCGCCTTCTAACAACACAGAGCCAGGTTCATCAACTCCCTCCCACCACGGGGCACCCCAAAACTCCCACATCAAACAAAACAAGAATTGTTTTTCCTTTCCCTGAGCTCCAAACCCGGAAACATTCCCGGCAAGAACCCTGCCTCGCTCTCCTCCTCCCCCCAAACAAACCCCAAACGCACCAACCTTGAGGAAAAACTCGGTGCCCTTCTCCATGATCTCCTGGATCTGCAGGAAGCCGGCGGTGTACATCAGCAGGAACTGGTCGCCCACGTTCATGCTGAGGCGGCCGGTGTAGCAGAAGCTGAGGATCTGCTGGAAGCTCTGCGGCTGCACGGCGGCCGGCAGCTCCACCACGGCGCTCTTGGAGCTGTGGAAGAGGTCTCGGAAGTAGGAGCTGCTGGCGGCCAGCACGGCGCGGTGCGCCTTGAACGCGTGGCCCTTCACCACCACCGAGACGTCGCAGAAGAGCCCCTGCAGGCGCTGCTCGTTCAGGCACTCCAGGATGCTGTTCCCGAAGTTGGGGATCTCCATCTGCAGCGTCTGCGCCATGCCGGGGGCCGGGCGGGGCCTGCGGGGACAGTGAGGGGACAGTGAGGGACATTGGGGACAGTTAGGGACAGTTAGGGACACTTGGGGACATTGGGGACAGCACAGGGACAGTTAGAGACTTTGGGGACATTGGGGATCTCCATCTGCAGCGTCTGCGCCATGCCGGGGGCCGGGCGGGGCCTGCGGGGACAGTGAGGGACATTGGGGACAGTTAGGGACAGCAGGGACACTTGGGGACACCACAGAGACATTGGGGACAGTTAGGGACAGTTAGGGACACTTGGGGAGCTGCCGGAGCCGCTCCCGGGGCCGCCGCGCTCAGCGGCCATTCATTGTGCGGCAGGCGCGACCGGCCGAGCGCCGAGCGCGCCGCCCGCGCCTGCGCGACCAGCCGAGCGCCGAATCATCCACCCCGCCCTCACGCCGCGCCCGCGCGGTTTCAAAAGCGGGAGAGGCGGAAAAGCAGCGGGGAAGGCGCGGTAAAGGCGCGGGGAGCGCGGGGGGAAGGCGCGGGGCGCTGAATCAGCGCGGCCCGCTGGCGGGGCCGGGCGGGATCGGTTCCTCGCCGCGCCGCCGGCGGGCAGCGCCGCGGGGCGGTGTTTCGGAGCGGCGGGCGGAGGTGTTGTGAGCCCGCGCGGCCGCCGGCGTCACGTGAGCGGCGCAAGATGGCGGCGCCCATGTGAGGGGCGGCGCGGGGGGATGCGCGGGGTGGCGCGCGCGGGTGAGCGGGGGGGACACGGCGGGGACAAAGAGGGGACACAGAGGGGACAGGGGGGCACAGGGACAGCACCGGAGGGCACGGGGACCACACGCCGGCGCGGCACCCGCGGGGGGCGCGGTTTAACCCCTCCCGGCCTCGCCACGTGCTGGGGGGGGCTCGGTGCGACCCCCGGTGCCGGTTTTTTTTTGGGGGTGGGGGTCGTTCCGTGTCCTCCCGTTCCCCGCCTCTTCCTCCCCTTTTCCTGGGGGGGGGTTTCCCTCCCGTTTTCCCGCCCTGCGGGGCCGACCCCAAATCCCGCCGGTTTTGCCCCAAAACCGCTCCGGTGCTGCCGTGACCCCCCCCGGTGACCCCCCCCCCCCAGAGCCCCCCCCAGGCCGGGGACCCCCCGGGACACCCCCAGACCCCGCGGACGGCGCGGCCGGGAGAGCCCTGCCAGGTGGGGAGGGGGCTTGGGGGGTCCTGGGGGGGGTTTGGGTATCCCCACACCCCCCTGGGGGGTCCTGAGCCCCCCCTGTGCCCCCCCCGGGGGGGTTTTGGGGTCCTGAGCCCCCCCTGACTCCCTCAGGGGGGGGTTTTGGGGCTCCCAGCCCCCCCAGGAGTATTTTTTTGCCCTCTGGGGTGATATTTTGCCCCCCCAGGGTGGTTTTTTGCCCCCCCAGGGTGATTTTTGGGGTCCCCAGCCCCCCAGGAGTGGGGTATTTTTGCCCTCCCACACTGATTTTGCCCCCAGGGGCGATTTTTTGGGGTTTTCAGCCCCCCAGGAGTGTTTTTTTGCCCCCCAGTGTGATATTTTGGGGTCCCCAGCCCCCTCAGGAGTGGTTTTTTGGGGTTCCCAGCCCCCCCAGGGTGGTTTTTGGGGTTCCCAGAGTGGTTTTTTGGGTCCCCAGCCCCCCAGGAGTGGGGTTTTTTGCCCCCCTGTGGTGTTTTTTTGGGGTTCCCAGCCCCCCCAGGGTGGTTTTTGGGGTTCCCAGAGTGGTTTTTTGGGTCCCCAGCCCCCCAGGAGTGGGGTTTTTTGCCCCCCTGTGGTGTTTTTTTGGGGTTCCCAGCCCCCCCAGGGAGGTTTTTGGGATTCCCAGGGCTGGTTTCCCCCCCCCACACTGTTTTTTTGTGCCCCCCAGGGCGGGCTGCGGGTGCTGGAGGCGCTGGCGGCCTCGGGGCTGCGCTCCGTGCGCTTCGCCCGGGAGGTGCCGGGGCTCGGCGCCGTCGTGGCCAGCGACCGCTCCCCGCGGGCCACCGAGCTGATGGCGCGCAACGTGGCCCGCAACGGCGTCGGGGACGCGGTGACGCCGCGGCTGGCCGACGCCAGGTGAGCCAGACCCCAGGGGACGGTGACGGGAGACCCCAAAACCCAATGGGGTCATGGCAGGAGACCCCAAAACACAAAACCCCACTGGGGCTGTGCCAGGTGAGCCCAGACCCCACAGGGCTGTGCCAGGAGACCCCAAACCCCAAAGGGACTGTGCCAGGAGACCCCAAAATCCAATGGGGTCATGGCAGGAGACCCCAAAACACAAAACCCCACTGGGGCTGTGCCAGGTGAGCCCAGACCCCACAGGGGCTGTGACGGGTGAGCCCAGACCCCACAGGGGCTGTGCCAGGAGACCCCAAAACCCACTGGGGTCATGGCAGGTGACCCCAAAACCCAAAGGGATCATGGCAGGTGACCCCAAAACCCAAAGGGACTGTGACAGGAGACCCCAAATCCCAATGGGACTATGACGGGAGACCCCAAAACCCAGGGGACAGTGACGGGAGACCCCAAATCAGGAGAGCCCAAACCCCAGGGGACGGTGACGGGAGACCCCAAAATCCAATGGGATCATGGCAGGAGACCCCATACCCCAAAGGGACTGTGACAGGAGACCCCAAATCCCAATGGGATCATGGCAGGTGACCCCAAACCCCACTGGGACTGTGCCAGGAGACCCCAAAATCCCAAACCCCAAAGGGACTGTGACAGGAGACCCCAAAACCCCAAAGAGACTGTGCCAGGTGAGCCCAAAAACCCATCGGGATTGTGCCAGGTGACCCCAATTCCAATGGGATCATGGCAGGTGACCCCAAAACCCCATTGGGGTCACGGCAGGTGACCCCAAACCCCACTGGGAACGGGGCTGATCCCCCAGCACTGCCTGGGGCTTTGGGGCTGTGCTGGGAGCTGTCCCCAGGGTGTCCCCAGAGTGTCCCCATGGGCACCCCGACACCTCCTGCCCCGCTTTGGGGTCTCTGAGGGGTCTCTGGGGGTCCCCAAAACCCTTTTCCTTCCAGACCTTGTCCCCATGTCCCCGAGCTGTGTCAGAGACCGCCCTGCCCCCCAAGCTGGGACCGCACTGAGGGGGTCCCAAAGGCTGGGGGGGGTGGTCGGGGGGTCCCCAAAGGGGTGCTGAGGGTTTCGGGGTCTCTGGGGACCCCCGTGCCCCCCAGGATGTTGATGTACCAAAGCAAAGCCCAGCGGGAGCCCTTCGACGTCATCGACCTGGACCCCTACGGGAGCCCCGCGCCCTTCCTGGACGCGGCCGTGCAGGCCGTCAGCGAGGGGGGTGAGTGCGGGGGGGCTCCTGGGCACCCCCAAACCCCTGCCCGGACCCCCCCGGACCCCCCCGAACCCCGATTTTGCAGGCTTGCTGTGCGTGACCTGCACGGACATGGCGGTGATGGCCGGCAACAGCGCCGAGACCTGCTACAGCAAATACGGCGCCGTGTCCCTCAAGAGCAAGTTCTGCCACGAGATGGTCGGTGCTGGGGGGGGTCCCCCGCTCCGGGGGGGGCGCAGGGGGTGGCTCACGTCCCTCGGTGTCCCCTCTGTCCCCTGCCAGGCGCTGAGGATCGTCCTGCACAGCCTCGACCTGCGCGCCAACTGCTACCAGCGCTTCGTGGTGCCGCTGCTGTCGGTCAGCGCCGACTTCTACGTGCGCGTCTTCGTCAGGGTCTTCACGGGCCAGGCCAAGGTCAAGGCCTCGGCCAGGTGACTTGGGGGGGCTTTGGGGGGTTTTGGGGGGTCTCCGTGCCCGCCCTGACCCCGTTTTCCCCCCAGCAAGCAGGCGCTGGTGTTGCAGTGCGTGGGGTGCGGCTCGTACCACCTGCAGCGCCTGGGCAGGGCCACCAGCCACGGCAGCGGGTACAGCCCCCCCATCCCCACCCCCAGACCCATTTTGGGGTTCCTCCAGACCCTTTGGGGGTCCCCACGATTTTTTGGGGGGGGTTTAACCAGGTGTCACCCCTCCAGCTTCAAGTACAGCCCAGCCACGGGGCCGCCCGTGGGTCCCACCTGCGAGTTCTGCCAGCAGCGGCACCAGGTGCGTGCAGCCCCCCTCCCCAAAACCTCGGCACCCCCAAACGAGGCCCTGAACCCCCTTTTTTTTTTCCCTTTAAAGGTGGGGGGCCCGGTGTGGGCTGAGCCCCTCCACGACCCCGCCTTTGTGGAGGGGGTGCTGGCGGCGCTGGAGCGCAGCCCCGGGCGCTTCGCCACGGAGCCGCGCATGCGCGGCATGCTGAGCGTCATCGCCGAGGTGACACCGCGGGGACACCCCGGGGACACCCTCGGGGGGGCTGGGGACACCCCCAGGGGGACATCTGGGGGTGGGGACGCCCCGGTTGTGACTGTGGGGCTGATGGTGGGGCAGGAGCTGAGCGATGTGCCCCTGTACTACACCCTGGACGGGCTGAGCAGCACCATCCGCAGCAACACGCCGTCCCTGCTGCAGCTCAGGTGGGCACCCCAAACCCCCCAGGGACCCCAAAACCTCCTCGGGGAGCCCCCAAAACCCCCTCGGGGAGACCCTAACTCCTTTTGGAACCCCAAAATCCCTTTAGGGACCCCCCAAACCCCCTCCTGACCCCCCCAAACCCCTTTAGGGACCCCTAAACCCCTTCAGGGACCCCCCCAAACCC